GCAAAACATGCTGGGTCAGCCCTAATAATGCTAGATTTGTCCCTATTTCTTATGTTCGTTGTAGACTGCTGTACCTAAATGCCACCTTCTATTTGCAGAGCATCATGAACCACCACCACCACCCTGTTACATAAGCAGTATTCACAGTGCGCATTGTGAACCATCAGCCATGGCAGCAAAGCAACACGGAAGAAGATAACCTTTATATAGGACTCAGTGAAACATGCAGTTATCCAGCTGGGGAATATGAGATGTCAAAAACTCATTATGTCAACTTGTCAGTCAATCCACCATTGAAAGGGGCTGGGCATGTGTGCAGTCCTCCAATGGTTTTGGGTTATTTAGTGTAACACTAACAGAACACCTGGCAACCTACTTTTATATATCTAGCTGCATACTCCATTGCTCTGGTCCCAATGGTTGAGGCAGAGATCATAAGGAGAAACCTGCTGGATCAAACCAATAACCCATCAGGTCCAGCATCCTGTCTTCACAGTGGTCAACCAAATGATTATGGGAAACCCTCAAGCAGGAACTGAGCGCATGATCCCTCTCCCCTCCTGGGCTTCCAGCAACTGATATTCAGAAGGATTACTGCCTCCTGTTAGGATTCTTGCTCTGTGCTTGCAGCCATGGTGGAGGCAGAACATAGTCATCATGGCTAGTACCTATTGATTAGCTTGAAGAATTGTTGTTGTTGTTTAGTCGTTTAGTCATGTCCGACTCTTTGTGACCCCATAGACCAGAGCACGCCAGGCACTCCTGTCTTCCACTGCCTCCTGCAGTTTGGTCAAACTCATGTTGGTAGCTTCGAGAACACTGTCCAACCATCTCAACCTCTGTCGTCCCCTTCTCCTTGGGCCCTCCATCTTTCCCAACATCAGGGTCTTTTCCAGGGTGTCTTCTCATGAGGTGGCCAAAGTACTGGAGCCTCAGCTTCAGGATCTGTCCTTCCAGTGAGCACTCAGGGCTGATTTCCTTCAGAATGGATAAGTTGGATCTTCTTGCAGTCCATGGGACTCTCAAGAGTCTCCTCCAGCACCATAATTCAAAAGCATCCATTCTTTGGCGATCAGCCTTCTTTATGGTCCAGATCTCACTTCCATACATCACTACTGGGAAAACCATACCTTTAATTATACGGACCTTTGTCGTATCAAAATTAGATAATACTATTTATCAAGAATTAGATAATACTAGATAATTGTTATAACAGCTAGGAAGAATGATTGACATGGAGACTGTTTCAGGAGCAGAGCAATCAAGTGACAGCTGGTTCCCCGCCACTCAGGCTCATGAACTGGACCTTGCAGAACCACTATGTGAAAACATTAATTGCCTTTGTCTGCCTTCAATCTATTCATAGTCAACGTCAGTGGGCAACCCTGAGCTTTAATATAATGAGAGTGGGTGAAAATGTTTCTATTAACAGCATTCTATTATAGTGAAACTTGGGGTGTCCAGGGATTGTTATATAGCAATCTCTATCTCTGTTTCCCATTTTCCCAATTTTCTGTTCAGTTCTCCACATTTCCACATCAGGAAGAAGAAGAAGAAGAAGAAGAAGAAGAAGAAGAAGAAGAAGAAGAAGAAGAAGAAGAAGAAGGGTTCACCTTTAAATGTGAGCTGATTCAAATTTCTCACATGTTTCTGGAGGCAACCCCCTCCCTAACAGAAAAAAAAGAGCTGGCCATGTGTTATATTCGTGCAGAGGAAAGGGGAAGGGGCAGAGGCTGAATATAGAAGTATGGAGCCGTTTTTCCAAGCTCCCCACTCACAGCATGAGCTGCACTCTAATGGGGGTGGGGAGACAACAGAGCATAAAATCTGAGTGGGGTGGGTGGGAAAAATAAGTGAGAACACCAGAAAAGGAGAAGTTTTATGTGTGTGGGGGGGAGGGGACTTTTAAGACGCTTACGCATCCCACCAGAAAAAGCACAGCCTATTCAGAACTGACTGCTTAATAGCAACAGAATTCTGAATGTGAGCTGGGGAATCAATCAGGCAGAACATAATGGAGTATTCTGCAAGAGACTCCGGCTGGCTTGCTAGAATGTTGAACGAAAACTCCACTTTTGGTGCATAGTCTCATTTCTGCATTGATTAAATTAGATGCACATCCACTACATTCAAGTTTCCTACATATTCTGAACTGAGCCCTCTCCTAGATTTAACACAACATTCTCCCCTCTTTCCTGAAATTCAGTGCCTGTCATCTCATGGAATCATAGAGTTGGAAGGGACCCTGAGGGTCCCCTCGTCCAACCCCCTGCAATGCAGGAAACTCAGTTAAAGCATCCATGACAGATGATCATCCAACCTCTACTTAAGAACTTCCAAGGAAGGAGATTCCTCCACCTACTGAGGGTGTCCATTCCACTGTTGAACAGTTCTGTGCTGGGCCCGGGGGTAACCTAAGAAACACAGTCCAGGACCGGTCCAGAATCCAAAGGTTCTGCTAGGAGTCAGTCCGACAGGGCCAAGTCAGGACATGAGGCAGGAAACCAGGCAAGGGCAAGGACAAGTACAGGATCTCAGGCAGGATCTAGAATACAGCAATGTTGCTCCTGCAACCTGGGGCGGGGTCCGACAGCCTTTTATCTTTGTCAGGGTGGTGGCTGGTCCTGATCCCCCGGTGACTCACCTGTTAGGATATTTCCGTTCCACCTTAAATAGTCAGGCATGATGTTGTGTTTCACATGCCTGTTTACTTCCTGCTCACTGGGAGTTTCCATTTTGTATATAGCTTTTGTTCCGGCTGCTTTCCTGGACATGGATGCAAGCAGTCATGTTTTTCCTTTGTTCTGATCAACATTGAATAATGCTGTAAATATGCTCTCCTGGCTGAATCTTCCATTGTGGAAACTCTGCAGAAAGGGTGTGCACGATTCTCAGAATGTGTCTGAGGCTCGTGTTGCTAATTGACTGATGCTGTTCTACAGGAGACCGGGAGATCGTCCGGAGATGACGTGGAGGCTGCCTGATGCCTCTGTCTCCCTGGAAGTATCCCAACATCACCTCCCTGTTTCGCCCGAAGGCGAGCACTCCTCCTGCGAGTACTCAGGTCTCTCCTTCTCTCAGACCTTAGTCTCTGCAGCTTGGGAGAGATTGGTGGGTTCCTAGACCCAGGGGCCGCCTCAGCCTCTCCTGACCCAACCAGTAGTGGAGCAGCTGTAAGTGATGGCCCAGCTGAAGGCAACGAGGTAATCCCCGCATCTGGAGCCAGGGCAGGCTCAGGCCCCTGACTCGGCCCAGCTGGTGTTTTTGTTGCAGGGGAACCTGTGCAGACTGGGACTCTTCAGGATCAGGCCCCAGGCTTGGTTCAGATGCTGCCTGAGGCAAAGAATCCGGTGCAGACTGAGACTCCTCTGGTTCCGAGTACGAGCCCGAGTCCCAGGCCATCACACATTCTTACCATTAGTGAGGCAAGGTGAGGCTTCTGCCTCGAGTGGTGGAAGCCCAAGACACACCACCCGCCTCACCTCCTTCACCCACCCTGCTGTCTCCAGCAGCAGCAGAGAAGCAGCACCAGAAATAAGAGTTTCTGGTGAGATATTGTTGAAATCTCAGGAGAACTCATGGAGCACATCAGATCTCTGGAGCGTTTGGTGAGATCTCACCTGTCAGGGACTGGACTGAACAGGAGGGCTGGGAAGTGTCCCCTCGGTCTGCTCGGCTCCTCTCTGAAGAGGAGGGGTAGTGGGAAGGTTTGCCCTCCTTGTATCCAGCAGTTTCAAGAGGAAAAGGAGACAGGGCTGAATTACAGCTGAATGAAGAATTGCCTAGTTACGAGATAGCGGTGAAGGAAGGGGGAGTGAGAGAGCAGCCAGCAGAGACCTCCCTGGAGAATCTGGGAGATCCTCCTTCTCCAAGGGCTCTTCGATCACTCCACATTCAAGAACAGAGAATGCAGAGAAGTGTGACTCCTGTGACTTCCTGTAGGTACTCAGGATTTGTTGGGGACGGGAGAGGAGTAGGGAACGTCACGTTTGCATGGAGACATGGATTCTTTGTCTTGCACTCAGATGACTGAATAAAAACCATATATACGAACTTGCTTGTTCTTATGCCTTTGATGCTACCGGGGGAGGAGAGTATTCTCCACGCCTGACATCACCAGAAACTGTGGCCTGTGTTTTGCGATTGTCACTACACAACACAGACAAGGGAGGTGCTGGGTGGCAGCAGTGGGGTGGTGGTGGCACATTCCCCTTTTGCCTCATGCTGTGAAATAGGACCTGACACCTTGCCTACACCCACACACCATGTGCCCTTAAAGAGTTCCCACTGATTTAAACCCTAAACTTGACAGAAGTCAACCAGGCTTTGATAAGATTGTCCAATCATTATGCGTTGATGGTGCCTTTACCCAATTTTGCCAAGATTCCATTCTCTCTTTTTTTCTTGTGTTGTGCAAGCTCAAGGAATGTCCTTAGTAGCTCCCCCAAACTGGAGCATTTTAAAATCCCTTCTTTTGTGTATTTCTCATTATTCACACTATCCAGAGGCTCCCTACAGAGCTCTGAGCTGGGCAAAATGCCCACCAACCCTTGCCAGCTCTTGGGGAAAACTGGGCACAACAGACTGCAGAGCAGAGATATTTTAAGGAAGGGGAAGCGATGCCAACTCGTATTTTCCACAAACGAGTTCGAGCATCATCAGGGTAAACAGCAGTTCAATGGCACTGCTGAGTTAATTTGTCAGACAAATTAGCAGATGAATGCACCCTTGTCATGTGCAAATCAATACTTAAGCAATAATAGAGTTAATAAAGTACTGTTCAACAAGCTCGCTAAATACTGGCTCATATCATTTCCTATCAAGAAAGCCCCAATCCAGGTGCATAGACAGGAAGTCCAGATTTGCATTTAACTGCCTAGACAGGAAGTGATGTCGGTCATATTGATCACCATCTGACATCACTGGTCATGGACAAATTCCTCTGCCAGTCTGTAAATGCCAAATCCCACAGTCAATAAATTGAAAGTGAACTGGAGGGGGACAGCTCAGTTGGTAGAGCATGAGACTCTTAATCTCAGGGTTATGGGTTTGAGTCCCATGCTGGTCAAAAAGATTCTTGCATTGCAGGGTGTTGAACCAGATGATCTTTGGGGTCCCTTCCAATTCTACAATTCTCTGATGGGTACCAAAACCTCTGCACTGTGAAGAAAAATTGAGTCACTAAGACCGGCAAGAGGAACAAAGCACAAATATACTTTTGTGGGAGAACGAGGGAGTTGCGTCTTGTTTACAAATTATAAAAAAAAAAACCAAGGACCAGTTCCAAAGGTTTATACTAAATTGTGTATCACTTAATAAGAAAGTGTTTTACAGATGTATATTGTTATAAGTTGTGGTTTGTGTAATGGAAAGCAGGTTTTTGTAATATATTTTGGGGGGCCTGTGGGGAAATTGAAAGAACAAAAAGAAAAAATATGGACAATATAGATAGCCCAACAGTCTGACTCAGTAGAAGACAGCTTTGTAGCCTTCCAGAGACAAGCCAAACTAAAATTTACTTCAACAGCACATTTCTTAAAATCTGTGTTTTTGTGTTTTTAAAGATTATTATTAATTGCTTTTCTCTTTAAAAACACAAGAGGGGCTCAATGGTAGAACACATCTTTGGCATGAAGAATGTCTCCAGTTCACTCTTGGGCATCTACAGTCAACATGACTGTGAAGGCTGCAAACATCTCTTGCTTTCAGTCTTGAAAGGGTCACCAGTTTCAGGTTAGATAGATGAATGGTCCATCGTAGTATAAATAAGTTTTTTAGGTTCAAACACCCACCTGCAATGTGGAAGGCACAGCTAAATAATTCCTGGCAGACAGCTATCCAAACTTTGTTTAAAAACCTCCAACGAAGGAGTGCCTGCCACCTTCTGAGGTCTTCTGTTCCACTGTTGAACAGCTCTTACCCTCAGAAAGTTCTTCCTAATGTTGAGTTGGAATATCCTCTCTTGTAATTTGGATCCATTGGTTGGGATCCTGCCTTCTGAAGCAGCAGAAAAAAGCTCATTCCATCTTCCACATGACAGCCCTTCAAAGATTTGAAGAAGTCTATTGTATCACCTCCTAATCTTCTCTTCTCCCTGCTACAAATGCCCAACTCCTTCAACTGTGCTCATAAGGCTTGGCTTCCAGACCCTTGACCATCTTGGTTGCCTTTCTCTGCACATGTTCCAGGCTGTCAATATCCTTCTTAAACTCTGGTGCCCAGAACTAGATGCAGGATTCTTGGTGGGGTCTGATCTGTTGGGTTTTTTTGACTATGTGCAATTCTGTGCAGCTTCACACAGAGTCAATTAAGAGTTGGCCGAAAGCCAAGGACGACTGAGCAGAGAGGAGTAATTCTGCCTGGAGATATGGGACCTTGGATACAGCTCTAACATTGGTTGAGGTCTCACAAAGGCATGGTGACTTATGACCTTACTGACTGGATAGTTTGTTGGTCAGTGTGGTATTCTGAGTTCTGAGAGTCGTTTGGAGTTTGTAAAGAGAGAGCTAGTTAAGATCCGTATCTGTTCTGTTCTTGTATATAGTAACTTGTAGAGTCTGCTGTAAATAATAAACATCTCTAAGTAACCAAGTTACTAGTAGCAGCGTCTTGTTCCTGCTTCATCCATCCTGCCTGCAACTGATTGCTTTCTGGAACTCTGTGTATGCTCTGCTAAGGTCTGGCTAAGGTCCTGCAACAGGTCAAAGTTGCGAAACACCAATATGATCAAGGGTCTGATTGTTTCACTTGGTCTGCTGCAGTTACAGATCCTGAAGAAACAGCTAGCTGCCTTGCAGGCATTTTTTCCCATTATTTGTATGCAGGGCTTAACTGCGCAAGCTGTTGGGCCATTAAGCCTTTTTTGGCATGCCTGTTCCATACAAATGAATAGTGTGAAAGATTCTATTTGTTTCCATGGAGAAGAGGAACAGGTTACATTCGGAGGGGCAAGGCTTCATTTGGTGGTACATGTTAATTTGGGATGGCAGATTGTGGGGCAGAGTATTCCCATCTGCAGTCGCCGAAATCATTGTCTTTTGTAATTAAAAAAGAAGGTGACCTAAATAAGCACACCAGAAAACAGAGGAAAGCCATTGCGGACCCCTGGTTTTAATCCAAGGAAATGCAGAGTTTTCCGACTGATCACTTAATCAATCAACGAACCTGTCAATGATGACTGCCTCTAAAACATACAGCAGCACTGGCAAAACTTCACATTGCAAGCAGTTTCATGATCATTTTATTAATTTTCTCCCAACAAAAGGGAGCCTGGGAAAGCCAAAAGTCTTAAGTGGAAGAAGGTCAGGTGGGGAAGAAGAAGAAGAAGAAGAAGAAGAGGAGGAGGAGGAGGAGGAGGAGGAGGAGGAGGAGTCTGGATTTGATATCCTGCTTTATCATTACCCAAAGGAGTCTCAAAGCGGCTAACATTCTCCTTTCCCTTCCTCCCCCACAACAAACACTCTGTGAGGTGAGTGTGGCTGAGAGACTTCAAAGAAGCGTGACTAGCCCAAGGTCACCCAGCAGCTGCATGTGGAGGAGCGGAGACGCGAACCCAGTTCACCAGATTACGAGTCCACCACTCTTAACCACTACACCACGCTGGCTTTCACACTGGGGAGGTGTTGCATACCCCTTTCTCCTCCAGCAGTGTCTCACTTCCCAAAAAGGCGGTGAATCACACAAGGACCCAGTTTCTTCTTGCCCATGGGGGGTAAGTGGCTGAAGTGGAACAACTGAGCAACATGCAGGAAAAGAAAGAGTTAAACAGCTCCACCAGCAACTGAGCCAGATTCAAGGTGTTACTATTAGTATATATAAAGCCCTTAACAACTTGGGACCAGTTTAGTTGTGAGATTGCTTTACCCCATGCCTAGGACATTCTGGGATCAAATCAGAAACAGGGACAGTTTCTGTGAATCCAGGAAAATAGGGGCATTTGGAGGGTCTGCAGACCCATGGTCAGGGATGATGAAAGGTGACATTTAAAACATCTGGAGGACACCAACATCTAGAGAAGGCTGCATTTGATCAGTGCAGGGTATATGTTCCTCTTGTACTTCCCCAAGCAGAATGGTTTTGAGAGTGCCACTGTCCCCTTGATCTCTGGGTTCAGATCAGAATTCAGGATCTGTGCTGTGACATTTCTGCCAGTACAGTACACCTCTTCCCCACCCACCAAAATGAATCAGAGTTTCAAGAGTTCTGTGCAGAAGCTACTTTATGATGGGATGGGATTTAAAAAGCTATTAAGAACAGGGGAAATCTATATTCAGAGGTCAGACGTCAGGGCCTCAAGTGAGGGAAGCACAGTCACAATTACTAATCAGCAGAAACCACTAGATCTTCTCCTTCTTATGTAATTGCAGTGTTTATTGGCTACAACACTTTTTAATGCAATATATTCACTGAAGTTGACATTGATGCATGGCCTGAATACGCGACATCTTTGGCTTGTCTTCCATTGGGTGATGGGATCAGATGCTCTGTGAATGAAGAGAAAAGTTGATCAGTATTGGTGACATTTGTCAGAGAAGAGGATAGAGAGGAAGGAAGAATCTCCCGCAATGCAAATACGCCATTCTTATTCAGGGCTTTCCTTGTGGGTAAGAGCAGAAGAAAACAAGTTTGCTCCCTCTTCCAAGAGACAGCCCTTCAGATATTTGATGATTGCTATCATATCTCCTCTTCACCAGGATAAACATACCCAACTCCCTCAACCGTTCCTCATAAAGTTTGGTTTACAGAACCTTGATCATCTTGGAATATTTCAAAAAGTAAAATTCCCCACACTCCCAAAGTTGTTGAGACGTTTCTTTAAGAAACCAACAAAATTGTTGCACTTTAGTTTTTAACCAAAGTTGTTGAGGAAGCTTTTTTCTTCTTTTTTTAAGGAAGCTTTGCCCACTGCAATCTTAAGAAGCATCTAAAACATTTTAAAACATTTTAGCCAGTTGCCCCAACCCGAGTTGCTCCAGCAACGTCCCAGTGGCCTCCCAGTAACATTTTAGCTGTTCAGGGTCAGTCTGTGCCCCCCTCCCAGACCAGGTGGATATGGTAATGGAGGCATGACGGGAGCATATATTGCTAAATACGTAAATAATATGCTGGACCGCCCCCGCCAAAAAAGTGACGCCTGGTATGGATCGCCCTCCCCGCTCCTGGTTAGCTCCACTACTGCACTGTCACTGGGGCATAGCCTCCCCCATAATTAAAGAAAAAAAATGGGGAAAAACAACAACAAAAACAAAACAAAACAAAACACCTTGGATTGTCATACATCCTGGGAATTCCTGACATATCTTTAAATTCAAAAATCACTTCCCCCCCCCAACACCATTTTAGGCGTCCAATTTCCTCGCATGTCTGGAATTTCCAGGATGTATGGCAAGGCGAAGTTGCGTAGAACTGAACACAGGACTTATGGGTTCTGACCAGGGCCGGATTTAGGTTTGATGAGGCCCGAAGCTACTGAAGGTAATGGGGCCCTTTGTATGTCCAGCTGTCCTTTCTCAACAACAAATTGTTGCTGTTTTTTGTGTTGAATATATGCTGTATGGTAATTTATGGACCTAACGGGTATCTAAAGCCATTTGCACATGATGCCATGCAACCAGTCCATGCAGAATGTAGGCACCCTATATATAGAAAGGAGCAAACCAGTGATATTTTAGGGAGCAGGCTAGCAGGCGGGGCCCATGACTTACATCACTGGTGCCTACACAACACAAGACACTGTTGCTGTATGTAGGTTTTACAGTATTTTATTTGTTTTTTATCTTATATTTTGGAAATGTACATCCAGTTGTTTTTTTTCTTTAAATTTTTGGGGGCCCTCCAAGAGAGTGGGGCCCTAAGCTATAGCTTGTTTAGCTTATACATAAATCTGGCACTGGATCTGTCCAAGGCAGAATAGAGTAGTACTCTTACTTCCCTTGATCTGTACACTAGACTTCAGCTGATGCAGCCTCATGGTACTGAACGAGGAGATGTGTGGGTCTGGTTTTTAGCAGAACCAAACATCTCCCAAAAGTTTTAGTTCCAGCTTTGTATAAGTGCATTCTCTACAGT